AACTTAATATTGACAGGATGGACCTAGAATAAGGCCCATTACAGAAAAGAAACATAAATAACAAGAAGGAATAAGCAGCCTATGGGCCATTCGGCCCATCTTCTCTACACGAAGGTTTCTCATGCTAGCATAGTACTCCTCAAGACTCTGATTACCCTGTTGCTGATTAAAGTATTCTTGATAAAGCTGATACATTCTAGTTGTGTTGTCTTGTCCCAAATACAGCTTCTTAGCATGGTCCCAAACTTTTTTGGTTGTATCAAGAAACATGAAATTCATACTAATCTTGGGTTCCATACTATTCCATAACCAGGTTATAATCTATGCATCTTCTTGTTCTCAATCACCATACTCATGAGACTCAGTAGAGGTTTTTTCTTCCCTTATATGCTTCACTTTCTTCTTAGCTTTAAGAAAGACTTCTACAGATTTCGCCCAAGGCACATAGTTTTCTCCATTCAATTTAATAGAAGTCATCTAAACATTCAGGTAGTCGGTGGGAACCATCACACTAGTTTTGTTTTCACTATTATCTCCCATGGCTGAAAAAAAAAAATTCTTCCTAATTCACCTCTCACCACATTGCACTCAACACCACACTACTCGGAACACACTAACCCTTCGATCCACATTGAAATCTGCACAAAACCCTAATACATGACAACCTGAATTTTCACAACACTACTTGGAACTCACCAACCATTTGGTTCACACTGAAATCTGCACAAAACCACTTACCTAATCACCAAAAAATCAATCTGCACTCGACACTCCACTGCATCACTCGAATCAGCCCTCTTCTTGCCATCGATTAGGGGGGGCTTCCTACGAATCACTGCAAACACCCACAAACTTGCTGACCGGAGGCATAGAAACCTCCAAGGGAAGAGGGTGATCACTCCTTTTCAGCCCCTTTCCTTATCTCCAACCGATGATGAAGAAAAAAATTAAAAAACCCTAGGCTGGATGCAAGAAAATCAGAGTTCTGGGTGGATTCGATTTTGTTACAGTTGCTCTGATACCATATTATAAACCTAATCTGCACTAAAATTCTGTTAGAACTAGAATTGAAGAAGTAATAGAAAGACTAGAAGAAGAAGTAGAAGAAGAGAGGAGAATAGAGAAGAAGAAGAATTCTGGTTCAAACAAGAGAGATTAATCACCTCTCTAGTCGGCCAGATTTAATTTATATGTTTCTATTCAAAAGACAAATGACTCATTTGCCCCTACCTAAGTATGGGTCACAACAACTAACAAAACATTACACATCAGCTTTGAAATATAACTATAAAGACTAAAATACCCCTACACAGTCGACACTAACAATGATGAAATGAACTTAACTAATGTATGCTCTTTGTGTAAAATTTATACAAGATGTCACCATCATCTTCTAATGCATTCTGCATCTACTCAGGTCTTGTCTTATCATTTGGGTGCTTCCTAGAAACATCACGGATCTCATAACAGGTAGACTGTTGGGATCTCTTTTTCCCTTGAAGGTGCAGTTAGAAACTTTGAAGGATGCTCCCTTTCTCTATATGTTGAAGGACCTAGGATGAAATGAACAATGAACATTTGAGGATAAGTTTTCTTCAGCAGCTAGGGTGGTTTTTGGAGCTAGGGATATGATGTTTCTCTGGTCCTAAATTCTTCTCGAATTCAGCAGTATTCAGCAATATCCTTATGTGGTTTTATAACCAGAGCAAATTAGACTTTACATCATTAAGCTGTGGATTTTGTGTTTTGGGTCCCTCAATTCATTCTCTTTCCCAAAATAAATCCCTGTCTTGCAAAGAAACGAGTAAGTTCCTTTTTCTATAACTAACAGATTTTATGAATGAAACAGAAAAAATATGTACAAGTACAACTTCCCAAGGAGAGGTAGACTGTCCTACCTAACCCCAGTATAAGTAATTACAACCATGCCCAATACAATTGCCCCCTGTTTACCCCTTGGTTAGCTAATGTGTCAGCCAACCCGTTTACAGATTATGGTACCCACTGTATTCTTATCAGCATATACTGTGATAGCCCTTTAATCCTTTTTAGCACCTCCCTGTGAGCCCATACTGCCTTTTTCTCATCTTTTAGCCACCCAACCACCACTTGAGAATCACCTTCAATAATTACCCTGTCAACATTCATTTCTTTTTCCTTTTGTATTCCAACCAATACAGCAAGGAGTTCAGTTCTTGTAGAGTCCCCAACCCAATAGGGTCCGAGAACAATGCTAAGATATGGCCTTCCTTCTCTCTGAAAACCCCTCCTACACCTGAAGGACCCAGATTACCACAGATACTCCTGTCAAAATTTAACTTGATAAAACTCTCCTCTAGCAGTACCCATTCCAGCTGAATTTTAATATTCCTTGATGAGGATGCAGCCTTTCTTTACATTTTCTTCTAATGTCATCAGAGGAGTAACAAGAGAACAAATCCAGTGATATGATCCAATTTGTCACCCTTATCAAAATACATTCCAACACTGCTTTGTTGCTTCTCTCTTTTTCATTAAAGATTCTTGTATTTCTTTCTTCCCATATTGACCATACAACAGCAGCCCTTGTGCATCTCCACATCAACCTTCCTCTCTTCCTTGATGGGCGCCTGAGTGATGCCTAGGCAACAAGGTGCCCATGGAGGACCATTTCGCTTAAGCACCTAGCTGTTTTGTACATGGTGCCATAAAATATTTTATATTTTTATTATTTTAGATTACAATAATAAATAGGCATTATTACACTATGCATCTTGTGGGGTTAGATACTAGTTTCTTTTTATTCTTTTCTTATCTGTTAGAGTTCAATCAACACACATGTTGGTGTATGTTGTCTTTTGAAGACTTCAAAACCTGAACCAAGAGGCAAGGAAGAACTTAAAATTGTGTCCAATCAATACATTCTTCTTCCTCTTCTTCCACCCTTTCTTTTCCTATTTTCCTAGGATAAAAATAGGGGCTCAACCTTTATATTTTCTGAATTTTCTTTTATTTCTTCTTTTTCTTATCATGAATATGTTGATTTTCTATGTTTTAACCTGAATTTTCTTTTTCTTATCATCCCCTTCACTATTGCCTAGCCTCACCTTGGCTCCTTGAAAACTATGAAACAGATTATAGTGATAAATGAAATAAAATCATTTTTATAATATAACTAAAGCATCACTTAAGTTTGCAAAACTCAATTCAATTAGGGAAAAGCATTTATATTAAAGAAAAACTTCTGTAGTATCTGTGAATATACACATTTATAATCAATCATTCTCTACAAAGTGGACGGCCGATAAGTGAAACGTGACTATTACAAAATTACTGATGTGGAATCATATACATCTGTAAAACAGCAGCTATTTTTCCCTGTTTCAACACCCTTTAAAAAAACCATTTAGGCCAATTGTTTAGTTTGCAAGTATGATGTTAGACTGTCTTAACCAATGCAGCTATTCCATTTATTTCTTGTATAAAGTACAAAATCAGTAAATGTCATACCATGTGCTTTAGAACCATATCTAGGCCAATCTCAGGAGTTATGGGAGGTAGAACAGGCAAACCCTTCTCAAAAAAGAGCATTGGTGATTTAATTGGGTCAAACTTTGAAGGTGCCCACCACCTAAACATAAAAAACCACCGAAGAATTAATGAAATTTACATGCATGCAAAGGAGAACTCGAACTCATTATACACAATTAAGATTTTATGCATACTAGAAACTAGTAAATGTTGTTGACAATACTATGTTCATTATTTTCTAATGCTTTTCCATCACCGATAATTAAACATCAAGCAACATAATTTTGCTGTAATCTTCACTGGTTCATAAGTCAAAGTGGCAATTAATTGCATTGGGTCAATTCAAAACTGACTGGTCAAGCAAAACTAGATAATTAATTGAGATATGTTGCAACTTGAAATGAGGAAGGAACAGGAAGAGTAATAGACTGTGAGCTCTCTTCCCCAAAACACTCCCCCTAAGGAGAACCACCAAAGAAAAAATATGTAGACACAAAAAAAGCAACATCCATAGTGACAAACCTACTCCTTGACACAGGATCATAACAATAGTATTCTTTCTAGTTTTGAGCATACCCAAGGAAGACACATTTTTTGGCCTCAAGGTCCAACTTTCTATGATGAGAACCAAGAATATGAACAAAACAAACACACCCGAAGACTCTCAAATGTATGTGAAATATCTCCCCTCTAGAAAAAGAAGATTATATGGCACCTTAAACCCAAGAATGTGTGAATGTACATGGTTGATCAAGCAAAAAGTTGTGAGAACTGCATCACCCCAAAACGAAACTAGAACTAAAGCACACACCATAAGACTTCTTACCACCTTTACAACAAGTCTATTTTTTCTCTTTGCTACCCCATTCTACTACGGTGTATAAACACAACTGCTCTGATGAATCAACCCATGTTTTGGGGAAGAGAGCTCATATTCTATTCCTCTTCCTGATCCTTCCTCTGTTCCTTTACTTGCACCAATTACACCATCAATTTCATCAATTACACCATCCCAAATCTCCTTTGCAGTATTAGCCTACAAAAAATTTTTACCTGTTGTTAGAATTAGTTTTTTTATTTCTGCTGTTAGGGTGCTGCCAGTCTAGGATGCTGTCAGCATGTTCTTTTCTTTGTTTAAGTTCTTATTATTAAGGTGGGCCACCAGGGGCATGCTTGTAATTTCTGTTTCTTTTATTTTAAATCATGTTAATACAAATAGGAAGCTGGTAGCCGCCAGCTTGAGTTTTTTGACTCTCAAACACTTTTTGTGAACTGAATTCGGATCTAAGAGAAAATAGATTTAGGGGTGTCCAGAATAGTCGACCACCACCCCAAAGAGACTCTTATATATATATATATATATATATATTGATAAATAACATCAATTCCATTAAAATAATGAATAGATACAAGAAGATCCCCTTAGAGGCGCGAGGAGCAGCCTCTCCAAACAGCAAATACACAAACTACAACAGAGAAAACATGAATGTTGAAATTAAAACAATAGTTACAATTG